CATAAGCCTTTACTGTCTTCTTGGAAGGCTTTGTGGCTTTTGTGAGAGTGATAGAAATTAATCTGTTCCAATTAGTTTAAATTTATTTTTACATTTTATGGGCATTTTTACCTTTATAAAGCCTTTTTTTCTAAAAGTGTTCATCATCTTTTGAGTCCAATTCTTACATTTAATCAGTCAATTAGAATAAAAGACATATGGGCTGTTACCAAACAAATGATATCAGTATCAAGGTGAAAACTGGCACTCTTCGTGTGATATTGACTAACTTTCTTTCTGTGGTATTTTTATGCACAATGGCGTTTAGTCTTTCACAAAACATAGCTAACGTAGGGCCATTATAACTAGCCACCATATAGATTTACGGTCTTAAATATGTCCAGCGCTTTTTTTTTTAAAAGTCTGGTCCCTGTTTTTATACAGTCTATGGTCTGGTCCAGCGTTTATCGGGTTGCGCGTCAGTAATAATGGTCCGTGGGGAAACATGGTGTTCCATGTGTAGTTACAGTAAATGGACTAAACGAAGCCTCGAGGCAAATGATTTGCCTCGATGATTTTTTGTATTCGAGTTACTCGAGGTATTCGAGGAATCGTTTCAGCCCTATACATTACAGTACATTAAATTTCACTTACCACATAAACAGAGTACGGAGAGCTGACTGAGGACGATGACGAATGATTTGCAGATCCTGAGCACCACTGACAAGCATCTAATCTTGTCAAATGTATAAGAACTGCCGCTCTAGTAAACACAGAACACGTGTGATCGCGAATCTCGAAAGTGAAATAAAAAGCGATCGTGCATTCAGAAGCAGTTTTAATGCCTCGCATATTAATAGTTTAATAGGCATTAAACTAATCTGATGCCCACAATTTATATACAGTATAATTACCTAATGATATAACTGCGAGAGAAAGTATTGAAATATATATTTTCCTCCAATCTCGTGTTTATTCTATATGTGATCCATATTTAATGCTGCAGAGCTGATGGCAGGCCAGAGCTGGTTATTCTGGGGAAGTCTTCTGTGACCCACATGGAAACACTACTTTCATCAGCCGAGCTCAAAAAGAGGAATGAGCCTGACATGAATGTTCCAGTTAAATATCTCCGAAATGTCTCTGGATTTAATGTGTCATATGAAATCTTCATCCTGCTGGTTCATGGTCTAGCAGGCTGTCGCTTTCATCCGTTGAATGACTGGGCTTAAACGCTGGCCTGTCACTCCAGGTGTGCCAGAATTGCAAAATGGACCCCGCCACACTTAAGAATCGAAACCTGGTTTGATCACATTTCATAACCACATACTGTACTGTAAAGACTTTTTTCTTTGAAATGATGAGACTGCATTGTTTACTAGTGAACATAATGACTCTGTGGAGTCTTTTTTTTTTTAGAATGTGAGTCCTGCAAATCAATCTAACAGATGTATGAACTCAAACTTGGAGTGCATGGTGAGCCATGTAACAGTCAGTACTCTTGCAGTGGTCTGTGCTGACAGGTAAAGTCTGGTTTTCAGGGGAAATGTCTCCCAGCCAGTCTTTGAGTCTCAGACTTCTGAACAGTGGCTCTGAGGACTTTGGCACAGTGAAGCGAACCTTCAGCTGACAGACCAGGGGTCACATCTTCAATAAGGAAGATGGTTGAAATGAGAATACCAAAAGTGGGGGTGACACAGATATGAAGTGCAAAGAAGGGTGAATTTTTAAGGGTCTGTGGGGATGTAAAGAAGAAAGAGACTTGGAAGAGTGTTAGTTTGGTGCTAGCATTAGACTTAAAGGTACAGAATGCCTATGGACAGTTAACTGACTGTCTGATGTTGGTTACTACAAGGGAAAAAAAAACATTTGAACTTTTGGACATTTGGACAAACTGGTCAGTGATTGGTTGGTTGCTATGCAGCTTATGAAGGTTTTTGTACTGTAATTCCACCAGGAAACAGAGACGAAACAAAGGTGCCAGGATAATATATACTTCTGGTCAAAAGATATACACTTCTGTAACTCTTAAAACAAAGCAAAATAAACATGCTTCAAAATATCTTTCTTATAATAACTAAATGCCTCAAATAAAATTCCTAGTATTTTATATTTATAAAAGAAATGAAAAGCATTAAATTTCCAAATGTGACAGTAAAGACCTTTATAACGTTAGAAATTATTTCTATTTCAAATAAATGCTGTTCTTTTGAACTTTCTATTCATCAAAAATCATGATTTTCACAAAACATTAAGCAGCACAGCACAACTGTTTTTAACATTCATAATAATAATAAATGCTTCTTGAGCACAAAATCATCATATTAGATATTATTATTAGATGAATGATTAGCAGATCATTCATGTGACACTGGAGTACTGCTGAAAATTCAGCTTTGCCATCACAGGAATAAATTATATTTAAAATATATTACATACACAGAAAACAATTATTTTAAATTGTGATATTTCATAATATTACTATTTTACTATTTTAATCAAATAAAATCAATACCAATTTAATCAAATATTCAGCCTTGGTCAGAATAAGAGATGTCTTTCAAAAATATTTAAAAAATCTTACGTCTGTGAAATATTGATTGTATTTTATAATTTAATACAGTAGTTTTAAGTGTCATAATATTGGTAGTACTGCAGATAATAATAATAATTTAAAAAACTTCATAAGTAAGTTTATCATCCCCATTTGTACATAATCTTCAATTACTTTATATGTCATCAAGGAGGTCATCAGACTGCCCATCTTTATAGTCAGTTATTGACTCAAAATATGCCTCAATGTGGTCCAGACCTCATGCCTTACTAGTTTGGCTCTATTGTTGAGCTATAATTCTGACTGAATAGAGAACAATTTACTGCACATGAAAGTGTTTATGGGGAGCCAGGTTGGCAGAGCATAAACATGGGTTTCCTACAGAGCCGGATGTCATGGGGGGAGAGAGAAATGCAGGGCATGACAAACATCAGATCACCTTGGGAAGTGTAAATTCCCATGTGCACAGTTGTGCCATAGTGCAGCACAGTCAAGATAACCCAGCTGTCTGCTGCCGTTCTATAGAGCCGTTTACTGACATAGCACTAAGATGCTGTTTCAGTGGTGTTTTTTGGAGTGTCTGTGGGCAGCTGGCATGAGGAAAGCACAGGCGTGTGTGGGCGTACAGGGGTTACGAGAGGGAAGGAAACAGATAAAATAAGTGATAAAAGCCACTTTCAGTTCACTACGGGATGGCCCAGAGATGCAGATGCGTGTGCATATTTAGAAGTAATTAAATCACTGACATCTCTTCTGAGGCGTGGGGAGCGTTCACCCACACACGCTCACTCATTGTCACAGATCCACACCAGACGGGATGTGCTAGCAGATGGGCTGCGTCTTTTTTTCTGTTACAGATTGGACAATGACATCCGAGGAATGACTTTCTCCCTGTTCTCTCAACTCCAAATGTTCACACTTGTCTTCCTTTATCCTACGTTTTTGTCAAACTCGGACAGGCTAGGGTGACGTTAGTGTATTGGTTAACATCTTTCATTCTGTACAGAACTCTCATTATTCTCACAGAGGAGGTGTTGTGGCTGTCTCAGAGATGCAGATGCTGTAAAACTTCTGAAAGTAAAAAATAATGCCACTTGTGTGTCCCATGGTGGCTTGAGAGAATCAAATAGTAAATAGATACTTTTACACTGTAATAAAAATCCTGTAAAATTCACGGTTCACCTTAAAATTCACATTTAAATTTTCACATTGTAGGTTATTTTTACAAAAGAGGTTAAATTTATCAGTGTAATAAATATATGTATCAACAAATAAATTTCTCTATAATAATGATAAAAAAATGTAAGTGTTTAAACTGTCAGAGGCTGTTTATTTGCCTACTGTATGTACAGTAGGTGTTTATGTGTCTATGTTAATTAATAATAACTAATATGGTTAATAATAATAAAGTATTATATTACGATTACAATTATTATTGTTCTTATATTTAAATATTTCTACATGATTTATAGGTAGATAATGCCTTTTAACAGAGTCATTGAGCAAAAGTAAATTTTCCAGATATATTCTCCAAATATTCAAGAATATAAACAAAGTATACTATAATTTTACAGGAAAATAGCAACTTTATACACACACAGAGATTTTCACACATGAAACCCATTAAATTGCACTAAAATTGCCAGATTTACCTTTTATAGTGAATGTTCCACATCTGCTATTCACATTTTGCTAGCATTCACTCATCTGCACCGAAATGCTGTTAAAATTTTATAATGTGATTTGTCTTCGGTCCTGTGTATTGCTTGTTTCCGAAGGAGGCTAGTTTTTTTTTTTTTTCCATAAATAAGACAATCTTTAGTTTCAGTAATCAGTCGATTAATTTCTTCATCTGCTCGCATGGAGAGAAGATTTTCCATTTCAAAACCTGTCCAATTTGACAGCATTATTTTCCACATAATTTCCCAATCCAAACATACACTTAATTTAGGTCTTAGGTCTGTTTAGTCACATCTCTTGCTAAGTGGGCTTATTTTTATATATAAGACCTGAGCTGAGTGTGTTTACATAAACTACTCATTATGATTTGCTGGCACTTTGACCTTTATTTGTGTTTTAATTGTAGTATTTATGACAGTATACATTTTTTTATTGCAGCAGACACGCGGTGTGTGTTTCTTGAAAGGTGATTCTATTGTGTTTACTGTATAATGGGCCTCTTGGCTGAAGGCCACTTGATTTCTTAAAGAGCCGATGGTTCTTCACATGCTGCAAACTCCACACGCACACAAACACACAAATTTCAAGCACTCGAAAGCTTGAAGGTTTTCTTATCAGACAGGAGTGGACATTTTATCAAGATCATAACTAGATTATTGAGAAATACCTTTTGACTGGTTATGATGCTTCACTTGATTAAAAAAAACAATTTTAAGTCAAAAATTAAAATATTGAGATGTTTATATTGAATATACTCACATTTTGACCCATTCTGTCTTTCTTACAGTGGTCTCATGCTCGGCCCAGCGGCAGGTCACAGTTCAGCCGGGGCCCTTGATCCGAACGGAAGGCTCTCACATCACCATCTGGTGTAACGTGACCGGCTACAAGGAAGGGGTCGAGCAAGACTTTGAATGGTCCATGTACCTTTACACCGCTCCCGATCGAGAGATCCGTATCGTGAGCACGTCCCAGCACAACTACGCCTACGCCTTGTACGCCCAGCGTGTCAACAGCAAGGAGATCTACATCGAGAGGCTGAGCAGAGACTCTGTCCTGCTGCACATCACCAAGCTGCAGGCCACCGACCAGGGCATGTACGAGTGCTACACTCCCAACACCGACAGCCGCTACCTGGGCTCCTACAGCGCCCGTACCAACCTCACCGGTGAGCCCCCTCCGAACTCTCACTTAACCCTGATTTATAATATAGTATGCTTCCTAGAGCACTGTGTTTTTGCATTCATGAGCCTTATTCAAACTGGACAGCTTTTCCCGCAGGAGGCTGGGTAAATGCGTGTTTCACAGATGTACTTTGTGATTTTATTCTCATCTGAATCAAACACATCTGTGATTTTCTTTCACAACCTCGGTGCAAATTACAGAGAAAATGACATACTGTTTTTCAGATAACTCTGGGGTCCTCTGAGAAATCAAATTCCATCCGGATAGTAATGTCTGTGATTTGTGGGATATTATTATAATTTTTTCCTCCTCACAACTTCTAATTTTTTTGACCTTTCATTAAAAGCCATAACTAAAGCTGTCAGTCAGCACAAGTAGAAAGTTATAGTTACAGTATTGTCCCTGGATTTAGACCTTTTTCACCAGTTATAAAATGGTTGGTGGTTCTAGCACTAGTGACAGCCCATCCAATTTAAAAAGAGAATTAAATCAATAAAGATTAAAAAGAGAATTAAATTAATCAGAGACAACCAAGTCCTGTCTGAATCTGTACACGAAACGTCAGGCATCTTATGTTAATAATAGGGATGCACAATATATTGGAATATATTAAAATGTATTCAATATATATAATCTTGGTAGAATTATTCATAACCATTTACCCTATTTTTACATTTACCATCATCTAACTTTTTAATGTTTGAAAACTCCTGTTAGATCTTTAGAAAAACTCAAAATGAATATAAATTGTTTTTATACTGTACGTTGTAATGTTGTGATATTTAAATTCACTTCTAGCATTTTAAAATGACTAATTTTTGTTTTTGTTTCTAATTTATTTAGGCAAAATTGTGTAAATTGTTAAATTGGAAATGAAGATGATTATCAGCTTATCTGTGTCAGCCAGAATTGTAATATTTGTGCATCACAATTAATAACTGTGACTAAAAACATATTTACTCTGAATAGTACTACTGATTTATTATAGTCTTTGAAACAGGTTTTAGAGTTTTCCCAAGCAATTCTAGCAATGTAGTTTTGGATTTGCTTGGATAGTCACTTTTGAGATCTTTTTTTAAATTACATTTTGAAATGCAGCTTTTTTTGGAGCCTTCAGCCTGAATCCTCTCCAACTCATCATTGCTCATGTTAATGGATCTACGCTAATTGGTGAACTTTTAATGCCTGAGTGGATTTATGCTGCACAAATCAGTCACTGTTCTGGTGGAGTAATAGAGAATCTACCTGACAGAATGCCAGTCCATCTGTGTGCCAGCCCACCCTATTATTAAGTAGGGCACAGGCTTGTAATGCTGCCTTGCCACCTGCCACCATGATATCAGTATCAATAGTCCTCTTAATTGCAATTGTAATTAAACTTTATCCTTCCAGCTCTGCTCACACACACATACCGCTGATGTCTCATCTATTTGATAGCACAGTCACATGGGCTTATCAGTGACCGTAACTTATTACAAAAAGCTAATTGTTAACAGTTCGGCTGTTGATTGTGACTAACCGTGAGGGCTGAGTTGTCAACGCCAGGCGTTGCTGCATAGGCTCACATGCACCGCATGTCTTGAGAGGCTGCACAAATGGACATGTGGACCAGCAGGAACAGTTTTAATATGGGATCGGTGAGTCATGAGTCGTGTTTGGTGTGGGTTAGGGAGCATCACACTGAGAGCCACCTGTTTAAGGACAGGCATGTTGCTCAACGCCCCATTCTGAGATCCCTGTCCCTCTTTAAACATACCATCATTCTTCCTGCTGTCTCTACATGCTAACAGATTTTCAGTCTTAAAAATATTTCATGAATCCAGTCCCAGATGACTGGTTTAAAAAAGTACCCTGTACGCTGAATTGAGTTCAGTTACTGTCTTTGAGATGCTAATGCTAGTAATAAAATACATTTATACTGTTCCATGTGAGTTACTCTCCCTAATGCTGCAGGATTTCATATTCTTAATGAAATGCGGTGTTGATCTAAATTGAATCCCTTCTCTTAGAACAGGGTGAAACAGAACTGTTAGCAGTTGTTGTTTTGTTTTAGAGACACAAACAGTGTTTGTGTGTGTCAGGGTGCTGTGACCTTTGCATCTGATCTTTTCTCACATCATGAAATTCCCACAGTGCACCAGGATTTGCTCTAAAACCTCCTTCAAACCTTTATGTCTCTATCAGGCAAGCTTATGCTTGAAAGACAAGCTAAGGCCAGAAGTAAAATGTGGCTAAATTCAATAGCTCTGGCAAATACAGATAGCAACGGGTATATTCCAAAATATAGTGAGCTGCTTTCCACAAATGAAAAGAGAGACCTGATTAATGATCACAAATAAGTTTTACATTAGCACACGTTGCTAAGCTAACAAAGCAATACACTTTTAAGTGTAAGCGTAGTTCATATCACACATATATCGGGGTTAAATGGTCACGTTTAAATGCAATTAAACTGCAGAATGTGCTAATGCTATACTGAGGTTAAGATTAGGGTGTTGGTTATGGTAAGGGGTTAGTATTTGTTTTAGCACCGTGTAAGCAGTCAGCACTGTGATGACCAATGAAATCTTTAGAACTGACTGTAGGTCGGGGATTGTGCTTGCCTAACTAGTTTGGGGGGAAAAAAGTGAAATAGTCCAATTTAAAAGATGAACTGCATACACTAGTGCACCAGTATTTCAATAGAATGTTTTTTAAGTGTTTGAAACCGTTTAAAAAGAGTTTTTTTTATTTTTGCTAGTCTGTTTGGTGCTGTTAGTTCCTACTTACTTCCCTTGTAATATTGGACTATTTTACCCAATATTTGTGTGCTGTGTGCTTTTTTTTTTTGTAGTGCGGCTGGGATTCCAAAATTGGCCAAAACGAGACATCTAACAGAGCATAATTTTGCTACCCACTGCCTTAGCTTAGGAGTGCCTAAAAATACTGTTAGCAGCTCACTAGCATTTGGAACAAAGCCACTGAAAAGATACAGCATATGTCTGACCTTCAGGGATTTTCTAGTCATTGACAGGAATAAGTCGACTAATCAAAAATGTCAGCCATGCTCTATGTTAGTAGGTTTCTGTATGATTCCACAGACTGTAGTGGAGCTGTTTGTGTGTGCGTGTTTAAGCTAAGCTAACAGCTGAAGCATGTGATGATTGAAGTTGTGGAAGCTAGTCAGGACAAATGTAATGCTATATATACATCCTTGCCCTGTGTAATAATTAGTATGTGTGTTTTCATGGATTAATGAATGATCAGTATGCTTCATAAGTGGGTTAGGAATGTGCGAGCTGAATATAGGCCATGACTGGGCTGCTCTCAGCTGCTGACAGGAGTAATGGCTGTGCTCATTACTGTGGCCTGTATTTTTAGGCAGTGTACATGAGGTGAGGGGAGGAAGCACATATACTAACTGGAGCCTCTGTGTGTCTCTAACCTCTTAACCTATTTCCCCGCGGCCTTGCTCATATTACAGGACAACCCTTGCATGCTTTTCAATTCCTCACCGCCTGGCAGCTGCATGCGTGCTGTCATCGAAAATCACCCAGCCCTCTCTTTCCACCTCTCTTTCTCAGTTATGTTTTTTTTTCCTTAATTCGTTCTGTACTCACAGTTAAAGTCAGTTTATATACATAGCTGCAGGCAGTTCTGGGTAAATATCAGTATTCCTGTCAAGAACATGTGCAGATTGTATTTCATCCCAAAATCAAAATAACAAAATAATTATACAGTGCTTCACAGGCAGTTCATAAAAATATATATTTTGTTTTTAAATGAAGCTTTCTCACCTAATTATTATTATTGTGTCTTATTCTCATTATAAAAATTAAAAAAAATTAATTAAATTTTAGACATTTATTAAAATACAAAGAAATAATATAAAAAAAAAAAAAGATGTACAAGAAATATATATATATATATATATATATATATATATATATATACATACATACATGCATGCATACATACAGTATTTCTTGTACTGTCTAAAATTGAATTTTTATTATAGTATTGTGGTTTATTTACTTACTTAAATCCTTTCCAAATGCAAAATCATTGCCAAATCCATAACCCACAAAATTGGTACTAATTCAAAAATGTGTAATAATTCAGACTTCCAGTGTTGTACAAATTTATTTATTTATCTATTTTTTAAAGAATGAAAATCACTGAGAGTAATAGAGATTTTCCCCTATGAAATTTAAAAGCTAAGCTAATGAGAAATTTGTGGGTAAATGTGTGTAATGATCAAAAATACATATTTTAATGTTATAAAAAAATGGGCTTAATTGTCTGAATACAAAATAAAACTTTATTTTTTTCTTTGCTTCTGGGACGAAATGCAACCAAAGCATGTTTCTGTGAGATTCACCCTTCTAGTGTTGTCAGTTGTATCTCTGTGAAATGTGCAGTCTTTTTACCTCTTCTCCGTTTGTGTTCTGTCCTTTAAAAGCTTTGTCCCTGTATAGTCTCTGATGTTTATTGTGCTTGGCTATATCTGGTGTTTTGCATGATGGAATGATGAAATAAGACGATAGAGTTCAGTTCTCCTGAATAAACGGCCATTTCTATGCGTTCCCTTGGCGGCTTGCTGTTTCTGACGGCAGTGGGCAAAAAGGAAGCTCTGCTCACTCCTGCCAAAGAAAAATGGTTCAAGCAAACGGGCGAAACATCCTCTTTTAATCTGCTTCACTCATCTGTAATGATTTATTTAACAGAAGATTTAGAGTTTTGTAGTTGTACATTTCAAATGGTTTCTTCTCTTCTCTAGCTTGGTGCTTTTTTCAACCCCTGTCCCCAGTGATGCAACTCTGTTCAAACATGAGCGATACAATCACTGCTGGGTGTTTGGCACTGTGTTGTTTTTGTTTTGGGTATAATTTATTTATGTATTTGTTAGTTGCAACATTTTATGGCTTTGAGCTTTCAGGCTGAAATCCTCTTCCTCCGACACTTTACTAAACTAGGCTGCATTTACTCTGTCAACCAATTTAG